TTTTGAATATCGTAATCGTAGAGTGTATAATGTAGAAATTAAAAAAATTATCTCGCCGCCATTTTGTTTTTTGGCTGTACCGATATTCCATTTCAACTCATTTTAAAAAAATATTATCAGTCTCCATACATGAAAATGTCATTTTCCCCCTCCTTCTACCCGAAAAAAGCATGGAGTGAGTCAGTGAGTCAGTGAGTGGTAATTGAGCTTTATATATTATAGACTAGCTTTCGCTTGGTTGCCCCGGGCTGCGAGCAGCCCGGGGAGGTCACGAGTAGCTGGTGGAATCGGGGCGGTGGGGTTTCAAGTCCGCCTCGAAAGTGGATTTTAATATTTTTCGTTTTTTTATCATGTTGTGTTTACAATTTGAAATTGCTTAGAAAAAGTTAGTAAGTTCTATCTTCAAATGAAAGGTTTTTAAGCACCATACATCCAATAAAAAGGGTTGCCAGTTAACGCTTAATAGAAAAAGAAATATTCAGTCGAAATACGCAAGAAAACCTTAAAATAAATTTTGTATAGATCGGCTCGTAGTCTTTTATTCTCTTATTCTTATTCAAAAGTAAGTTAATATTTAGTTAATACAGATATTGGAGTTTTAAGACCGCCTCTTGTTATGTTAGGTTTACAGTATAAAATTGCCTAGAAAAAGTTAGTAAGTTCTATCTTCAAATAAAAGATCTTTAATTACGCAAAACATCATACATAAAAAAAAAAGATTGCCAGTTTACACGCAATATAAAAAGAAAAAAAATCAGTTGAAAAACGTAAGAAAACTTAAAATAAATGTTGTATAGATCACCTTGTAGTCTTTGATTCTTAATCAATAGAAAATTTCCTAAAAATTACAGTATCAAAAAAAATACAGTTTTTTTATCATCCGGCAACACTTCAACTGAATACATTTTTTTTCTGTAAGTAATCTGAAAAATGTTATCAATAACGCCAAAATCAGCTCTATAAAGTAAAAACCGTGAAAAATGATAAATTTTCTAGATAAAATTTTGAAATTTCAGCCTCAGACCTAAAAAGCACACTTATAAGCACATTTGGTCACAGTTCCTTAACCGATTGACCAGGTCTCCGTTTGTTATGGCTGGCTTCGCTCGCTTGTTTTTTTCGTAGTTCTAATCTAACCGATTGACCAGGTCTCTATTGATGGTGTCCTTTATGGCTCGCTTCGCTCGCATTTTATTTTAGCCATAGTTCTAACCCTACCAATTAACCAAATCTCTCTTAGCAGTTACTCCTTATGGCTCGCTTCGCTCGCTTTTTGTTTTAGACACGTTGCTTACATAATCGATTGATCAGGACTCTTTTAATGGTCTAGCATTATGGCTCGCTTCGCTCGCTTTTTGTTTTATTGATAGTTCTAATCTAACTGATTGACCAGGCCTCTATTGATGGTGTTCTTTATGGCTCGCTTCGCTCGCATTTTATTTTAGTTACAGTTCTTACCTTATCAAATAACCAAATCTCTCTTAATAGTTACTCTTTATGGCTCGCTTCGCTCGCTTTTTGTTTGAATCACAGTGCTAACATAACCGATTGATCAGGTCTCTTTTAATGGTCTCGCATTATGGCTCGCTTCGCTCGCACTTTATTTTGGTCACAGTCCCTTAAACGATTGACCAGGTCTCCTTAATTATGCCTCGCTTCGCTCGCTTTTTGTTTTATTCACAGTTCTAATGTAACTGATTGATCAGATTTCTATTGGTGGTGTTCTTTATGGCTCGCTTCGCTCGCATTTTATTTAAGTCACAGTTCTTACCTTACCAATTAATCAAATCTTCCTAAAGGTCACTCTTTATGGCTCGCTTCGCTCGCTTTTTGTTTTAGTCACAGTTCTAATCTAATCGAATGATAATGTCTCACTCGCTTTATTTTTCTGGCGAAAATATTGGAATTTTTTTCTCACCACGTAAAGATTGAGTAAAGATACAAAAACGGTCTATATATGCAATAAAGCTTCCGAGTCGCCAGCTCGGTCAGAATCATTCTGAAATTAATATGGTGACTATTATCAGTGTTGCTAGTCGATCACTCAAATTATTCCATCAATTATGTTATAAATGCAACAGTAAAAATTTTGTTAAACAGTGAAATCATTGTAAAAAGATATTTAAATAATTTTCATAAATGACATACATGAAAGTTTCTCAAAAATCTCACTATATAAAAATTTACAGATTTTTTTTTTCGTCTGGCAACACCTCAGCTAAATACATATTTTTTGTTAGAAGTATTCTTAAAAATGTTACCAAAAACGCCAAAATCAGCTCTATAAAGTGAATGTCATGAAAAATGATCAATTTTCTAGATAAAATGGTCACTGTTTAAGCCGCCATCTTGAATTTTTAAATTTCAACCTCAAACCTATGTAGCCCACCTATTGGCGCATCCAATGCAGTTTCTATTATTTTCCTAGCGGCGATAATGACTGCGCTAGAGTCCAAAACGTGAATAGTGGGCATTAAATCTTCAAACCACCGTAGGTGCCAGGGCTGCCAGGTGTAGGCAACGAAAATAGTCAAATATGATTTCGAGGTGTGCCCTCCATCGAAGGATACCAATTTACAAGTTCTAAAATTATTTCTTTGACATTTACAGTTTTTGGGGTAAATCTCAGAAACTTCCCTAAAATCGGGTAATTTTTTCCCACCATATGAAAGAGTCTATAGAGATACACAATCGCTCTATACATGCCAAATACTTGCGGGGTTGCCAAGTCGGTCAAAATCGAGGTTGAATTTCAAACGTTGTTTGCTCTCAGTGTTGCCAGTCGATCGTTCTATTTTTTCCATCAGGTATCTTGAAAAGTTAAAATTAAAATATTTGCATCAAAAAAGTTCAAAAATTCGACAAAAATTGTTTCCTCAAAAATCTCATAAAGTATCAAAAATTTTCGAGATTTTTTTTCACCAGGCAACACTTTAGTTACTTGCCTAATAAATGTTTCCCCGGAAGTCCTCTGTCAAATGTCGGCGAGTGCGTCAAAATCGGCTCGATGTGGTGACGTTACCCAATTTTCCGGATAAAACGGCCGCTGGTTTGGCCGCCATCTTGAATTTTGAAAATCCGGCTCCGTACCGGTGTGGCCAACTCGATAGCGCATCCGATGCACTTTTTACCATTTTCCTAGTGGCAATACCGACTGCGCTAGAGTCGACAAAGTAAAAAATGGGCAAAATTTTTCAAATCCCCTCAGCCACCAGGGTTGCCAGGTGACGACGATCAAAATGACCAAATGTCATTTCTGGGAGTGCCCTCCGCCGAGGAAAAGCATTTTTGAAATTCCCAAACGGCTCCTTCTACTTTTCACCTTTTTGGGGTAAATCTCCGAAATTACCCTAAAATCGGGGAAAATTTTCACCTCATTCGAAGGAGCCGGCGGAGACTCACGACCGGTCCATACAAGGCAAAGGGCTCCGATGTTGCCATGTGAGCTAAAAGTGCGTTTGAATTTTTCGGAAAAGTGAAAAAATCACAAAATGGCCGCTGTCACGGCGCCGCCATATTGATTTTGCCGAGTTTCATAATTTTCCTATAGTCACGACTATATCAGGCAAGGGACCTCATTCACAGATTTTCTCCGCTGGCCACCCAGGTTCCCAAACAATTCGGGTTATGAGGGCA